GGGGTCCAGACAGTAAGAGAGGGCTGATCTAGTGACCGTCTACTAGATGTAATTACGGATATTATCCGACAATATTGCAATGTAAAGGGGTCCAGACAGTAAGAGAGGGCTGATCTAGTGACTATCTACTAAATGTAATTACTGATATTATCCCATAATATCGCAATACCAAGGGGTGCAGACAGTAAGAGAGGCTGATCTAGTGACCGTCTACTAGATGTAATTACGGATATTATCCGACAATATTGCAATGTAACGGGGTCCAGACAGTAAGAGAGGGCTGATCTAGTGACTATCTACTAGATGTAATTACTGACATTATCCCATAATATCGCAATACCAATGGGTGCAGACAGATAGACATCTAGTGACAAGGAAAAGTAATATGAATAGGATAATATCAAGATATAATTATCGGATAATCGATATGATTGTGTCCATGCCACGACTTCCCGAAAGAACTCTAGTAGGAGACGTACAAAAACAACGAACAGTGTTTGGATATTGTATTTTAGTTCGACGGTGACGCAACACGTTCATCACTACTGGCGCATGTTTTTTTTTTCTATTCTCGAATTCACGCCATAAGGATTTTTTTTTGCTGAAATGGTCAGTGTGTTTGTGTAAATAGGAAAAAATAAGTAACACAAATACAAACAGGAAAAAAGAATCATGACTAGAATAACCTGATATGTCAGTTAAAACAGAAGAAAAGAAAAACGAATTGTCTAGAAGCGCTATCTAGTCGAGAATCGAGGCCGGCGGTTCAAAGTTTGACGCTATTCGAGTCTACTGAATATTCCGGTGCAAAATCAATAGAAACATAGGGAATCAGATTCCCATTCTCACGTAAAAAGGACCAGGCAGGGTACTTTGAAAATTCTGTATTTGTATCATGTGATGGGCGTAGCATTTATAATATTTTACATCCTAAAAGGACCGATTAATAACCCAGACGGTGTATGATTTCATGATGACGCAACATTAAAACACCGGCCCAATAATTGAACACGTGAGAAAAATGGAAATTCCCGTCATTACCACCCGAGCGAGACCAACTGACTACTGATAGTCCAACAAACCCTGAAAGGGGCAACAAGGACCTCCCCTTACAAAAGAAAGTGATTTCCATTCCAAAACCCCAGGAAGTCTCGGTGACTTAAAATCTCTCATACCGCCATCAAATACATGTTAGAGGCTCTCGCACCATTTAGATCGAAAGACGTTTTATCAGATGATTTGAAGCTGAACGCCATTATAGAAGAATTGTAATTTTGTTCAAAGAACCTCTTACGTCGTAGCCTCCAACGGATGTGTTAAGTTGATAATGTACTGATATACACCGTTATCGTTTTGTTTTACTGCAATCGTTATTGCCGCTAATCAAAGTCAATCCAAACACAATAAAGTACATAAAGCGAGCGTGAGGATGAATTAAAGCCGGTAGAAACAGGTAGTAATGATATATTATTCAACTTATAAACTCAGGCGTTACGATAGCCACACAATTTTTCATATGGTCTCCGGGTATGGTCTATAGCTTAAGATTAAAAGAACGTAAGCAGGCTCGCTTCGCGCAAAAATTGCCTACTTTTCAGATATTTTATAGAGTAACCAATTAATATTATCAACGGTACAAACATTACAAACAGAGTTTTTGTCACTGTGAACTTCGCACATGTGCAACACATACAGGACACTGTGCGAGCTCGAATGCATTTCATTGAGATTTACGAATTGTGTTGAATTCTTCCGTTCAGAAAAAAAGCCGACAGATGCAAAGCTTGGGTTACCTGTTAAAAAATGGGAAGCTTTCTTCATCCCAGGAGAAACAGGCAGGTCTGATGAAAAATAACGTCCGTGCGCGAGACAATCACGGTTCATTCCATTGAGCAGTCATGTGATGAAAGGATTTATTGATCATTTTGACGTTCTAATATTTATACAGAAGAAAAGAAATCGTGCTATATGTATTAATTTTGTTAATAATGTCTTAACGAAAGCTATTTCAAACAACATTCGACTTTGTTTATTCTTATTATAGGCAAGCCAGCAATAGTGACTGTAACATTAATTGGCAATATCTTTTACTGAAACAATAGATAGGAGTGAAACATTATATGGACTTATTTCTCATACTTATTTCTCATCTATTTTTCATATTAGATCTTAAAAGAGCAAACAAAGTAAATAAACTCACAAGATCAGTAATGATCACCTATAATGACAATAATCGTCATGAGCAGCTAAACTCCAGAAATCTTATCAACGCGCTCGTCTATCATTGACCTATAAAGACTGTAGTATACTAGCAATTTTTGCGGCGGTTTTAAGAAATAACATCAAGATTTTGTTGTTAAGATATTAAGATATTAAGTTTTGCGACAGTTAGCCCTACTCATTGTGCAGAAGGAACTTGTTCTAGCACTGATGAAAACCACCTTAAAAAATAGCCGAAAAAATGCACTAGTGTCTGAGGACCTTTACTATAGTTACTGAGTGCTTACCCGCTTGTAAAGATATTAATTTAGATCCCATTTACATAAGATCCTTTTTCACCGAAGATTTGAAACAGGTTCTTATAGATAGGTTCTTATAAAAATAAACCTGAACAATTCTTCATTAAAAAAGATATATCTCTAACTGTAGTGACCTTGAACATGTATACACTTCTAAATTTGGTATAAACAATGTTTGAAAACCTTGTAAGTTTTCTTCTTATTAGCGGGTAAGTACTGTATCAGGAATCATCATTTTTCGTTAGTATGGGAAATGACCATCGCATTGTACTCATTAGAACGAGTGAAAAGCCGAAAGTTTATTGAGCTGCATGGTGCTTATCACGAAGCGAATGTTTTTATTTGCAAATAGAATCAATAAAACAAGAATACAGCTTGGCTAAGCATTACTGGATGCAGACTCTACATTTCGGATAAAATTGGACTTAAAGATTGATGACGAGTGCTCTTAAATTGACCCAACCACTGCAAAAGATTGTTTTTGGTCCCCCCCCCCCCCCCCCCCAAAAAAAAGAAACAACATTTCTACTTTCAAAACAATAAGGTGTAAATAAACAATCGGCAATTGTATAATAAATAAGCACATATGACATCAGCATGCATTAGCATAATGCATTTCCAACTCTGAAATTTGAAGTCTGCATCCAGTATCACTTTGTCAAGCTGTTATTCTCTTCATATTTGGTTCTATTTTAGAAATAAAAACACTCATTTCATAAGCATTTTAAGGTACTTGGAAAGTATTATTTAACAGTGCAATTCGATTATCTGTATGATGATGGTGACTAAAAAATCTTGAGTGGTCGCTATTCCATTAAATATCTTCCCCTCGCCTTCCTTTAGGTGAAAGTCCTCGACAAGCCAGGTGCCTTTCTGGAGTACACTGCAATTAAGGAATTCATTGTCAATCATACAATGCAAATAATAAATATGAGCTTTTATAGTCAATTTTGAGAATCACGGCCTCCTTAACACAGGGCAAAGTACTAAAACTTTGTTTCTGACTGTTTTAGGACAAAACTATAGCACTTTGCTGACCTTATCTTGCCTCTAATTGGATGAAGGGAGGAACGAAGCTGCACAACCATGCTGCTTTTCCAGGGAAATAGGACAAGCCTCCATATCGACTTTCGGGTGCTGCTCGTGATCGAGGAGTACTCCCCACTGGTTAAAGGGACTTTGTTTGTTGTTGACATATCGAGTTCCCTCTTGCAGCCTGAAAAGCTCCAAGTGAAGGAGTACTCGTCTACCACCCTTTCCTTTAAAGTACCACGTACGTCTTTGCAAAGCTGCAATTAACACAATGACAACAACAAAAAATGAATAAATAAATAAAGTAAGAGATTGTTTTGCATATTGCCTCGCCGTTTGATTACATTTACTCTAGCTCTTGATCTTTTGATTGTTTTTTTTTTTTTCATTTTCTACCTATTCGGCTGCAACAAAAAGTTTCTTGCTAGCTATTGTTAAGAAAAATCAAACTATGAAACATACCTCTTTCTTTGTAAGGACTTCGACCAACTTATTAAATTGCTGGTGCCATAGCTCACGATGGCTTCCCTCATGGCTTGCCTTGTATTGCTCCAGTTCATTCCAAGGTCCATAGAAATGGCACCCTGGAATAGAACATGGACCAACACGTTGCCTGCATGTTCTAATGTGCACAAGGAAATCTTTTCTGTGAATTAAAAAAAAAACAATCTAAACGTTACACCTGGTTATGTCCACATTTTGTATGACTGTCGTGTTGACTTCCTTACCACAGAGATATCGATTTCAGCAGTAATACGAACTGTATATGAGCACGGTGTACAGGGAACAAAAAGCAAATCAAAGGGGACTTACTTTTTGCAAGTGTGGGCATCCGTGGAATCAGAAAAATAAGGGCACAGTACGTCCCGGTTCGTGCACTCCAGTCTGTCGTGCTTGCTCCTTTGTTGGATGGGCACGGACAATTTACACTGGATGCAATCTTCTAAACGGAAGAGACATGCTCGCTTGTGGTCGGGCATATCTCTTCGTTTTGTCTTGACTATACAGCCCACAAAGGGGCACTCAATCGTCTTCCATTGGCATGCTCCTTTGTGGTGCTGAATTCCGCCGACGGTCCCCTGCCAAGGGCACAGCATACACCTCGCTAGCAGTTTGCTTGCAATACTTATCAACTCGCGATTAACGGTGCGCTCCTGCGGCAAAGCAGACCTGCATATAGCACACTTCCTGTTATTTGCAGGTCCATTTGCCAGCTTCTCCATGCAACCATGGCAAAAGGAATGCCCACAAGGCAGGACAATGGGTAGGAGCATGAAGAATGAACTGCAAAATATTGAACAAATTGGCAAACGGGTTAGCTATTTTGATAAAATAAATTAGGCCTACCATGATTCCCACCCTGATTGTTTTGTGATAAAGAAAAGAAAACAAGCCCGGTTAATTCAATAAATTGTAAAAAAAATGACACGTTAAGAAGAAGTAACAATCGATATTTCATATGGATAGTATAAAAGTGAAAATTCAAAAAGTTGTAGTCTTCGCTCCCCGAGTTTTTTGGATTGTCGCTCAAAAAAGAATGTATAGAAGAAACTGAGACCGACTTATGGAGGTCTCTTGATGCATATCTGTGCATATGCAGTTATATCTAGGTGTCCTTGTATAAAGATAAGAGCAAAAAATGGCTATAATTCTTTGTTTCATGGGATATAGCTTGAATTGTGTTTTAATATTTTAACGGCCATCGTGGATATAATGATAATTAATTACAGGAATTTATACTATTTTCAAAAATATTCCCAATTATTGCCATGGTTTTTTTTGTTAAAAAATAGGTGCAGACTAATTGGTTACTGAATACTGTTAAAAAGAAATTTTGACCCGATGTGGGCAAAAAAAAACTGAACCCGTCTGCTACGGACGGCTACCAAGTCCGAAAAACCTTCCCGCTCTCCTCAAAAATAATTCCAATTCATAATGTTAATATCTTTTCTTTTCGAAACAAATGAACTTTCTACGATCCGTCTGTAAGGCTGCCTATTCTCTCAAAGGGTGGTATGCTAGTCCGTTTCGTAAAGAAGACTGACACGTGGCCGAGTTTAATTTTTGCTATCTTTTGTACTTTTCACTTACCATATGGAGCAGCACAAACTAGTGAAGCGGTCATCTCGATCGAGTATTTCGCAGTCCTCAGCTGTGAAACTTGGCATTTGGCGATGAAAGTTGGAATTTAAAGTCCAGGTAGAAGTTCCAAAATAGCAACCTTTCCGTTTGTCAATCCGAATGGAATGAATATAGACCTCAGCAGCTTTTAAGTATTACATCATGATTTCGCGGGTGAGAAAAAGTACATGCGCAACTCCAACTGTGAATTGCTTAATCAAAGGGTTTAAGGTGTATGAAGAGGCAAGGTGGTTGGTATTGAGCAATAAGATTATTTGAAATTATAAGGGCCACATCAATATAATGCAATCCTCAAAACTAACCCAAACTAAAATTGAACTAAGACATTCTGTAAATATTTGGATATATAACTAGTTTTAATACCTTCAACATGAACAATATGCTAAATTGTGCAAAAGACTCGATCGCGAGAGAGTTGCTCCAACATTCTGTACAGATTCACATGTGCTAGATGTAATTTCTTCATTTTAATACACGTGTTGGGAGCATGTCAGTTGTGATGAAAGTGATGAGTGATATGCGATAAGTGTTTTGACACTCCATGGAGCTATAACAATAATGCCTGACCAACTACCAAGTCTATCATGTTTAAAATTTCGTACTCTACTTCCATTTTTGCATCAACATTTTTGATATATGTATGAAAATTCATTAGTTTTAGTCACTTTGAGGATGAAACATGTCTCGAAACAAGTCTGTACGGCATTAAAAATGTTACACAGTTAATCCAAATTTTGTGATGTACATTCTAACGAGCAGCACTCATATATCAAAAGCAAAGACGTAGAAAATCTGTAACCGTTTGGAAAAAAACCTAGATCCGCCACTGATAGAACGCTATCCCAAGTCGCAATCGCAACGTCAGTCAACGTCAATCGCAATGTCAGTCTCTGTTCCAAGCCTCCCGGTATATGGTAATATAATATCCAGAGCTCCTCTTTCGTACCCGAAGGTACCATGCCTGCGGAAATGCTTCAAATTTTGAATCTGTTTCTTTATGTTTCTTATTTGAATTGCCGATCAAAGGTAAGCAAAGATTAAGTATAATTTCGCGCGCTAAACATTTCATTACCACATTTATATATTCGGAGACTTAACATGTACGTATTTTAAATAAAAGGATGTATTCGGGTCGCAGTTCACGATATCTTCTAGCTTTCGCACTGTTTTCGCATCAGTCTTACAATTTTAAGTTCAATTTTATCTTATCAATCTAAAATTTCATGTACACATAAAAACCTGAAGATATTAAAGTCAATATTTTACATCTAAAAATACAACGTGATAATTCAATCTCTAAGGATCAATTTGTCACAATTCATGAAATATATCTAAGAACATTGACATAAATCTCTATTTGAACTCAGTTATGTGTTTCAAAACCTAGATTTATTTGATTAACAAATTAGCAAAGATAGGTCTCCATATTCGTTTTAGCGCTACAGCACGTGAGCGCGCGCAAGCTAAGGTTACGCAAGCTGGGGTCGTTCAACAGGTCAAACTAAACTTTCAAACGTTAAGCGTGGATTTCACTAGCGCATAAGCATAGGCATAAGCACGAAGCACAAAAGTCATATGCGCCAGTGAGAATGGGCTCAAAATAAGCATAAGCATGAGCACAAGAAAAACGAGCAAGTCTTGATCTTCTTGTGCTTATCTCATGCTTATCTCATGATTATGCTCAGTGAGAAGTGGACTGCTTATGTCCAGCCGTTCTCACTGGCGCATATGATTCTCATGCTTGTGCTTATGCTATGCTTATGCGCTAATGAAATCCACGCTTTAAATTGTAAATTACATGCAGAAATTAAGATAAAACTCGTGAGATTTCAAACTATTTACATTTTCTTCTACTCACATATAATCATGGACTTTTACTGGATTAAAGTATTAAAGTATAGTATCTATAAAATACATATATTTCTCCACTACGTAACATTGTTATTTTCACTAGTGAAGAAAAGCTATTTTACTTAAATATTACCATACTAGTGGACTAGTGCAAATCCTTCGTTCTGATTGGCTACGCTACTCGTAGTCAATTTTTAATAGTATTTAGCAATAAAAACATTTAGTTATCTCTATATTTTATTATTTTTCTGTCCAACTAGTTATAGGCAATACTGAAACAATTACATCTCTCAGTGGACTATGAACTGATAGCCCATTCGGTCTCATGGGCTATCACCTCATAGTCCATGAGGCTGAAAGATCTAATTGTTTAAATATAATTTACTTATAGATAGATGCCTTTATTTAAAATTAATAACATTATAACTCAGGGTAGTCCCGTCAGAAGCCCAGGGGCTACCTGCTATCAATGGGAGCCCTGAGTATAAACTAAAATAATAATTACATACGTATACGCACGAATATAAATAAAACGATTATGYAGAAATTACAAAATATAAATTGATAAAAGACAATAATTAAATATTTATAATATCGATTTAAAACTATAATAAAATCTATATTTGAATCCATAGTATAAAAATATATAAAAATAATCACTTTGAAGAGAATTTATTATAAATCATGGAGCCTTGATAATAAAAAGAACGTTTTGCAACTTCTGTTCTTACTGCAGGTAGATGAATTAAATTCTTTTGGCGAGTATTACGAGAGTGAACCTTATTGTTAAAAATAAAATAATTCTTAAAAAACTGAGGGCAGTGTCCTTTAATACATCTTTTAACTAAATTAAAAGTGTCTTTAGAACGTCTGTATTCCAATGATGGCCACTTCAGTTCATAAGTGTCCTTCTCGCCATTTGANTTTATTTGAGCAGGAGCTTTTTTCCAATTCAGTTTTCGAATGCAGTATACAAATTCGTGGTCGCTCAGATGTAAAGAGAAAGTTCCAGAATCACTTATATTCTGTGGACAGTTGGTTGCAACAAGATCTATTAAAGAAATAGAATCTTTAGTGATCCTTGTAGGGCTATCAATCAATTGATTGAAATTAAAGGTTTTGAAAAGGGCCTTGAGTTGTTTGCAGTCCGAGCTATTACGTTTGTATGGCAAAAAGCAACAGTTAAAATCCCCAGTAAGAATCATTTCTTTTCCTTCAGCTGCAGCGCAATCCAACATGATGTCCAATTTAGTCATAAACTCCTTGTCATAGTATTTGGAAGTACTATCAGGTCGATAAAAAGTGCCAATAAGAAAGTTCCTTGATTTAGGTACGATGACTTCGAGCCAAAGGCTTTCAACAGAGTCTATTTCCAAATCTTCTCTCCTGATAACCAATACATCATCTCGAACATAAGCCGCTACTCCACCATTTCTACTATCTCTGTCTCTCCTGAAAAGTCTATAGCCGGGAATGTTAAACTCGTTGTCGGAAATATCCCGCTTTGCCCATGTTTCAGATAGGGTTAATATTTGAAGTCTATTCTTCAATTCATCACGTAATAGAATACGTATCTGATCCAATTTACTGGCAAGACTTTGGATATTTTGGTGAGCAATTTTTAGACCTCGTTGTTTGATAGTCTCTTGCAATTTAGACAAGCCATTATAATCAGTAGAAGGACCTGGGTGGGTTTCAATATCTCCACCGAGAAGTAAGAGGCTGACGATTAATCCATTTGGGGTTGTATAGTTACGCCGAGAACGAAGACGAAACTGATCTTGACCAGAATAGGACGACGAATAATTAAGATTTATCCCACAAAATCTCCATAGGTGAAGTGAATTATCTTTACGATAGCTAAAAGTCACATCTTGAGAAGCAAGCGGTAGCAGGAATCGTAGTATGGCAAGAAAAATGACAGAGCACGTGGAAAGACGTCCGGCCGCCATTTATAATATATTCTTGATATATTCTTTCACACATTAATTTGATAAACAGGATATATTAACACTTGGAGATACAAATTTTATTGCTCACTCGTGAGAGATCTTTTCAATGCTCAAAGATAAAATCTCTGCGCACCCAATCGTCTACATAATCTTTTTCCAGGCATTATTTTCATCCTGACATTGCTGCATAAGCCAAAAGAGTATCATCGATAACAAATGTAAGTTGAGTGGATAGATTTAGTGTATGACAGTTATAAAGTGAGGATAGCTGGGGTCCTACAGTAATATAACTGACATCACAGGCAAATATTTTTTAACAAACTAATCTGTAACAGTTAACTACCATACATATATGTTCTATATATCATATTTTGAAGACCCGGAAACTGTGAGTTGTTTACCGGTAGACAACTCGCAGTGGAAGGATAAAACCCTTTTTATTTCTTTTTTGGTATTAGGTTTAGTTGGTGGACACCTGAATCTGTAGACTGTTTACCGGTAGGCAGTCTCAGTGGAAGGAGAAAACCTTTTTTATTTAATTTTAGGTTTAGTTGGTGGACACCTGAATCTGAGAGCTGTTTACCGGGCAGCTCTCATTGGAAGGAGAAAACCTTTTTTATTTAATTTTAGGTTTAGTGGGTGGACACCTGAATCTGAGAG